CAACATGAACAAGGGGATGAAGAAACTCCAAGTCAACCGTCTTCTACTTTGTCAAGAATAGCTGGAGCTGAACATCATGAGATTCAAGACAGCAGTTCTACTAATAAGCTGAGGGCAATGGTGTCCCCAAAACCATGTGGTAAGAAATTAGCAGTGTCTGTATCTAGAACATTGACTTCACCTATGGGGTACACCACTGAGAAATTCAGCTCTTTAAATAGGCAATTTAAATTGGGGATTACTGGCAAAAGAAGTCCAAGGCCAAGAATTCAAGAATCTGGTCCTACTTCAAGTAGGATATTTCAGCTAGGGGGAGAAAGAAATACTTCTCCCAGAAATTGGGGTGGTTTCACGAAGCCAGGAGGTAGAAATGGAACCAGTAATTCCACAGAACATCTTGAAGAAGAGACTTTATCAGTGAAAACGAATGAATTCACACAAACAACTACAACGAAAAGGGCTCCAGAGATTACTGTGGTAAGTGACACCAGGCCTGTTGCACCACTAACAGTTGGTTCTTCCCATTTCTTCACCATCTTGGCTCATGACAAGCCAACTCTGAATAGATCCCAAAGCCGTTTTCACTTGGGGGGCACAGATTCCGTAACGCGTCCCGAAAGCTTGCCTACACGATCTCTAGAACTTGCCACAGAAACAGAACTTCCCTTCCAGCTTAATCAAACTGTCCCTTCTGCAGAAGGAAGATCTCTCGTGCCAGCCAGTTCAACAGCAGGATTGACGATGGGTGGGATGAGCTTGGCCACGGCTCGTGTTCAGGAAGGTACATCTGGGAGACATAGCACAGGGCTTCCTTCATTAGAAAGGCAACCAACGTCTCTAGAAGAAACAGCTCCACCATCAGTCACAGGTTCCTTACTATCTCCTGAGCCTGTGAACCTTAAAGAGGGATCTGTTGGTGGCCATCTTGGAACAGCTACTTCATCGGTTCCAAGGAACACATCCCTTGTGGGCACTACAGTTGCACTATCTACTGATTTATCCAGTACCATCATTCTGGAAAACCAGACTATTATGCAATATGATTCAAAACAGATCACAGGCATCCCTTCCAAACCAAGTGAAGAGATGCCAGTGGAGACCAACGGTAGCACCTTGGCTTCCACGGAAACCCACAGGACATCTCATGCTGGATTTTCTACCAGGGGGTCCCATGAGGAACACACCAAGCTCCTACAGTTTGAGTCTGGACCACAAACTAAAGCGAAACCTTCAGAGGAAATCACTGGGCCAATATTGGATGGAAAAACTTCAACCCTCTTTCTGGAGGAGACATGGAAGATCTTTACGAAAGAGAACGATGCCTACAGATCAGAGGAGCCAGCTGCTGCTAAACTCACAAGGATTAGCTCAAAAGCATCTGAAGAAAGTCATATCGGCACAACAGGAGCCACCGGTCTTGGTGTGAAGTCCTCATCTCACTTAATTCCCACTAATCCCTCCAAGGAAACAGAAAAATCCACAATCTTCAATGAGAAGAATGTACATCGCACTAGTGGTCCTTTTAGTGAATCATATTCTGTTGCTTTGATGCCTCCCCATTCAAACGTTCCAACATCAAAAGTGATACCTTCTGTTTCGGATGTCTATCACCCTCGTGATATAGAGAAGGTGGAAGCTGCAGATGTGTACCATAAGGTCACAAAGTTATCTAAAGAGGCTTTGGTGCCTTCTGGAATATCTCTGCCCCAGATCCAGACTCTTGGCTCAGCTGAAACAGGAAGGAGATCTTCTACGACGTATGGCATCAAAGGTCTGGAAAAGGCCACGGAGACTCCCACAAGAGTGAAAGACGGAGAACTCTTTCCTCTTGCAACAGAATTGTCCCGACAAATCTCTGAGACCCAAGTTGCAACGACCCTGGAACAGATGACTAGGAGCCAGAAGAACGAAAGGAGCCTAGAAGAAAATGAATCTTTTCTTGCAAGTAACCCTATCCGTCTCCATCATGTCAACAAGAGATCTCTGCTGGGAATAATGGCAACTCCACCTCCTTTCATATTGTCTTCACCAGCTCCTGACTCTAAGTTGGGACACTCAAATATTGGACAAGTAAACCCCAGAAGACTGAGAGTCAAGAAATTGTTCCCAAAGAAGCATATGTGTAAAATCATGGCTTCTTCAGGTGGGACCGTACAACGGCTGCTTCTTCCTGGATATTTACGAGGATACCTGAGTCATCCTGGCATCGGTCAGGATGTGGCCCTTTCAATAGAAAACATGACGAAAGTGACACAGCCTGAGAACCTTATATTGAGGTCCACTTTGAAGTCCAAGTTATGGAGTCTTCTCCGAAAGTTGTCCCCTTCTGAGAAAAAGAGAGGAAATAAACCAGAGCTCAACCAGAGAACAACAGGTGACATTTTGATATCCTGCTCCTTCAAGGAGAACTTGTGTGGCTGGAAGCAAAGACAAAATGACAGCCTGGACTGGACGCTTGAAAAGGAAGAAGAGAAGAGCTCGGAGTCCATGGAAGTCTCTGGAAAACATTTCAGGAGCTTAGACGGTAAGGGACAATTCCATTCTTTTACGACCCTGTAGATGTGGAGTGGTGATGCAGTGGCTCAGTGGCTAAGACTCTGAGCTTGTTGATCGAAAGGTCAGCAGTTCAACAGTTCGAATCCTTAGTGCCGCGTAATGGGGTGAGCTCCCGTTCCTTGTCCCAGCTTCTGCCAACCTAGCAGTTCGAAAGCACGTAAAAAAGGCAAGTAGAAAAATAGGGACCACCTTTGGTGGAAAGGTAACAGCATTCCGTGCACCTTTGGTGTTGAGTCATGGCGGGCACAGGACCATGGAGACGTCTTTGGACAGCGCTGGCGTTGAAACAGAGATGAGCAACACCACCTAGAGTCAGGAATGACTAGCACGTATGTGCGAGGGGAACCTTTACCTTTAGATGCGGAGTAGGCCTCATCAATGGGGGTCAGTTTGGGTCTTTCTCTCTAATCTAGTCCAACCCCTCACCCAAGCAGGAGACCCTACTCCATTTCTGACAGAGGGCAGTTCAGTCTTTCTTGAAAGCCTCCAGTGATGAAGCTCCCACAGCTTCTGAAGGCAACTTCTGTTCCATGGGTTGATTGTTCTCACTCAGAAAATTTCTCCTTATTTCCAGGTTGAATTTCTCCTTGTTCAGTTTCCATCCATTATTCCTTGTCTGGCCTTCAGGTGTCTTGGAAAATAGCTTGACCCCCTTCCTCCTCTCTGTGGCAGCCCCTCAAATATTGGAAGGCAGCTATCCTGCCTCCCCTGGTCCTTCTCTTCACTAGACTAGCCACGCCTGGTTCCTGCAACCATTCAGTTGAGGGGAGGAGCTTCAGATCTCTTGATTATGACAGGCTAACTTGTGCCCATACCATTTCTTCACTAGGTTATATCTCCCTAAAGCCTTCAGGTCATCTCCCAAAGCAAAGGGCTGTTTTGATCAGCCCCGTTGTGTATGGCATCCGATGTCTCCAATTTTGGTACAGATCGACAGACTGCGCTGCAGGTAAATATCTTCAGCCGTATTGGCTGGAAAATCTGGGGGTTGCATTCCCAACAGAGCTGGGGGGGGGGGGGGTTGCATTCTGAAAACGGCTGCAGGCTGCATTAAGCGACTTGATCCTGAAAATGGCGTGCCGAACATCGGGTGGTTGGTGCATTTAGCTCACGGCTTACAACAATAATCGAGCGGGCAATTGCATGGGTGTTGGGACTTCGAAAATATCAGAGTTTGTTGCAGAAATTAAACCCAGAAAGCACACACAGGCGGACTGATGCAGCAGGATTGATTTAAATATGAAACTTCTTTATATGGAAGAATATATATACAATACTGAGGTCCGGACCATCCCCCACCCTACTGGTCTTCCGAAAAGCGATGAAGACCTGGCTTTTCCGGCAGGCCTGGGGCTGTTGATCTCGCTCTTGTGATCTGGTGAGATCCGGCCATGAATGGCGTGAATGAGTTTTTAATGTTTTTAATTTTTCAATTTTTTTTTATAATTGTTTTTTAAAATGTATTGTGAGCCGCCCTGAGTCTTTGGATAGGGGCGGCATATAAATTTAATGAATTAAATTAATTAATTAAATTAAATACCAACAGCTGAGAAGAGTTTCATTTCAGCTCAGATCAGCAGACAACTTCACAAAAATACACACACAGTGGTTTCAGTTTCGATTCTCAGCACAGACTCAGTAGCTGCAGACTAAGACATACCCTGGCTCCAGTCTGTCTCAGCTCCCAATTGGCTGACTTAGTTGCTATGCCTATTCATTGGCTGACCTTGTTACCATGTCTTCCCAGTCATGAATATTCTGACAGAAAATGGGTCGTACATAGCTTTGGGGAGCTCCACTGTAACTTTGAACTGTCGCTAAATGAGGAATAGTGAATACTTTTTCAAGAGAAAATGCAATGGTTTCTTTTTTTCATTCTGTAGATAGCTGGTCATTGAGCTGTTTATATTTTGTAGGCAAAATTAACTTCTACACAAAGTGTCTGAATTCCACCAAATGGCATAAAGTGACGTCAGTGAAGGGAAAGCAAGATATTGGCTGGCATCAAGTGGCCGTATATATTTCTACAACTTGGGCATTACAGGTAAACATTTATGGCATGTCCTAAAGGTGAAGGTTTCCCCTGTCCGGTTGTGTCCAAGGGATCAGTGGTCATCTCTATTTGTTAGCTGAGGGATCCAGCATTGTCCAAAGACACTTCTGGGGTCATGTGGCCAGCATGGCTTTACGCCAAGTTGCATGAAATGCTGTTACCTTTCCACCAGTGGTACCTATTTATCTACTCGCATTTACATGCTTTCAAACTGTGAGGAGAACAGGAGCTCACCCCATTGCATGGTGCTGGATCTCGAACTGCCAACTTTCTGGTTGATAAACTCGTGGCCTTAACCGCTAGGCCACTGTGCCCCAGGTCCTAAATACATGTTGTAAATTGAGTGTGTATCAGGTAGAACATTAGAATATTAGAACAGAATAGAGCTGGA